TAATAAAAATGAGGACCTTCCGGAACAGGCTCTGTGGTGGAACCTGCCAGCTCAGCCTGCATTCTCAGGGAGGCCCTGCCTTTACCACTTTCTGATGGTGAAACTTGCACACACTTCTCTAAGCTCTAATGCCTGAGCTCTTTTCTCCTGCAAATTAAGAATCTTCTGTAAATTAAACAGTGCATTTTTTAAAAAATGCATTTTGAATATTAAGGAGTTACACTCATATACAAGCTGATGCTTACTGTTCCTGCCAACAGACTTCTTTGGTGAGATTTCTTATTTTTGCTTGTAGTACTTTCCTCTGAAATTTCTTATTAATTAGAATGTGCATCTGATGCAATTTGAACCTTTGTACAAACGCAAAAGCCCACACGCTCCGACTCCTAGCATGCTCAGTGCCTGATGAACACGCTGAAAGCTTCCTTTATAAAGCAGGTAACTGGGAAGTATTTTCTTTTGGGACCTTCAAAAAAAATGCTGGATATTCCCCTGTAGCCCTCTTTAAGCCACCTACATTTTTTTGCCACATGCAAGAACTGCCTTTTAGCTCTCTGGGGCCGCTGAAGCCTGTAGGTGCTACCACCTGCGTTCCCCGCTAACTCCTTCACTGGGCTTTCCTGGTGTTTTTTAGAATTGTTGCCATGACTATTCGTCCTGGGCCTCATGAACCCACAGCTATGGTGCAGGAAAAATTTGTCATCTGGGGATTCACAAGAGCGAATTTTCCATTAAAAAAACATCGTGTGTACCTGTGTGATTCAGAGAGAAGGTACTTTCTGCTCTACTTAAAACAAGTGAACTGTCCTTGAGTGTGCGTATGAAATGGCCCTCTTCGCAAAACCAACAGTCCATGCTGGCACTTCTGTGTAGACAGATAAAGAAGACTGTATCTGCTCACGCTCAAAAGCTACTTCTGCAAGAACCTACTTTTAATTGCCAATTATAAAATACTGTTTTCCAAAGTCTGTTTGAATTGCGGCTCCCAAGTAGTAAAAAATTGTTCAACACATTTTTTATCAATCAGTAAACCTCCAAAATATATTTAAGGCAATAAAAATCAATGGACTCAGACTATAACTTATTATTAAGCTGATAATCCTCAATTTTATCTAACAATTGTCACTGATCTATCAAGTCTAATAAAGTATGATTTTCTTAATGATAATAAATTAATTCCAGTTTAAATTTAATATTACGTATTTTGACATTATATGGGTGCCAATACTGTTTCTGTGCTGGTTTTTCTACACTATGTAGTTTTGTTTACTGGACTTACTAAAATAAATACAATGCGTCAAATAATCCCAGGTCTTCAAATGTACGACAGCACATGATTGACTGCCCAAAAACAGCCTTATTCTGTTGCACGCTTGACTTGGGCTCCGTTCCATAATTTAAAACTAACAAAGAATTAGAAAGCCTATTGAAAATGAGCTCTGGTGACTCTGATCAAATTTAGAAGATGACCAAGAAAAGGAGAAGCACACAGGTGTATTTTCGAAGCAATTTCACCTTGATTATCCTATACAATCACCAAGGACATTGCACTTATCACATCTATACGTTTGCCCACTGCCAGTGCCACGGACGTCTCATAAACGCTGCATCTCAGCCTGCTCCATGCACATAGCGCTACACTTTCTTCTTCTTCTCCCCTGCCTGATTCTGTGTAGCCCTCCTCACGCCCTGCCAGCTCTCCGGTCTCTCAGGAGTCAGCACTTCTCTTGTCCTGGAATCACGTTCCAATTAAACCCTTTGGTGCGTCTCCTTTCCTCTTTCTTTTGAACCCAACCACATAAACTCTTTCTTGTGTGGGGGGAATAAACAGAGCTGACCCAGGCTCTTTTTCCTCCCTAATCCCCAAGTACTGAAAACTCTCTCCACCCTTTCAGAATTAAGTTCCCTCTTGTCTAGACGGGTTTGATCCAGCGCTACCCTGCAAACTGAGCGTGTTCAAGTCAGGGAGCCCAAGAAGTAACTGGGCAGTCACATAGGAAGCGCTGAGAAAGGACTCCGGTGCCCAAGGTCACGTATCCATCCTCCCGCCTTCCCAGCTAAAACACGGGCTAACGGTGCTCAGCTCATACAGTGGCTCCCAGGATTCACCCAAAACACGTAACAAAAAGGCAGGTGCTCCACACATTGTGGTAGCTATGTTTTCAAGATTTAAAGTGAACTAAATATTAGGAAACTTCAATTGGGATTTGATACAATTATTCTTAAGTCCATTTAGATAATATACAAGTGAGAGGAGACTTCTATAGGAAGGGAAAGAAATAGGACCTGATGTCTTTTATGACGTCTTTCGTGGCTGCTGAAAGACACGCCCTGCTGGCCAGAGTGTGTGAGCCTGGCTTCCTGCTTTGCTAGAAACCCCACTTCTTCAAAAGCAACTGGGCGTGCAGGGTCAAGCGTGAAAAGTGCTCCAAGAACCCAATATAAAATTCCTCTTACAAAAATATCTTCTAATATAAATCATCTCAAATACCTAAGAAAACTTGTAAGTCAAATCTGTTCGCTACAGGAAAATCTGTAACAGCAAAATCATTCACTACGTAAACACCCCCAATGAGGGAAGAAGCTAACACAAGGCACTCATGCCCTGTCATATTTGCAGCTATTTAAAATAACACATTTTGACGAAATTGTGATACTGTATTAGACATGAAAAAAACACAGCACTAAACCACATAGCCTGATCCCAACTGTGTAAAAACATGCACAGAAGCAAGGGAAGTCAACGCACCAAATGGGAAGCATGGTTGTCTCTGGGTGGTGGAACTGAAGAGATTCCTTTCATTATTGTTTTCTGTATCTCACATATTTGCTGCAGTTAGGAGGTACTGTTTTATGATGGACTATTGACCGTATACCTAACAGATTAAAAACTGCTCCAACAGTTAATTTTCTGGAGAGTTTGAGGGGTATTCTACCACTTACTCATTGTTAGCCTTCAGACTAAGATACACCTCTGAAGATGATCTCAGAAAGCTACAGAACTAAATAAGAAAGAGTAACTGCTTCTTGGGGCTAACCTCATATACATATTACTTCCTATTTCAGGCCTGAGTCTACCAGGGAGTGAAACCATTTCATGCTTAGTCAATGCAAAATCACAATACATTTGGCCAAGATGTTTTTTTGTTTTATTTTGTTTTGTTTTTGAGACAAAGTCTTGCTCTGTCGCCCAGGCTGGAATGCAGTGGCATAATCTCAGCTCACGGCAACCTCCACCTCCCAGGTTCAAGTGATTTTCCTGCCTCAGCCTCCCGAGTGGCTGAGATTACAGGCATACAAGCATGTGCCCCCAGTAGATGTGGGGTTTCACCACGTTAGCCAGACTTATCTCAAACTCTTGACCACAGGCAATCCGCCTGCCCCAGCCTCCCACAGTGTTAGGATACAGTCATGAGCCACTGCGCCGGGCCTGGCCAAGGTATTTTAAAGAAAATATAAGGTGCCAACCCTGACATATTCCTCACCTACAAAATGCTACCAAATATATGTGGTATATCAAACAAACCAACTACCTAATGCATTAGCTGGCAAATTTGAAGATTCTGTGTGATTTTACTATGTGCAGACATTTCATTCAGAAGAACACTGTGAACATGCTAGTTTATAGGCTTTGACAGCTGCAGAGAACTTGTAAAGGAAAAGCTTCATTTAACAGATAAAAAAATCCCAAGGCATGGGAAGAGAGGTGTCCACTCAAGATAAGCAGCAATGCTCTTTCCCAAGGGAATACTCAGAAAGGCTCAAAGGCCTGAGACCTGCAGAACGCCTGTTCCTATCGGTGTGGTTAGAGTGCACAGGCTGCCTGCTTCTGTTGGTGAGAGACAGGCATCTTTGTTGGCTCAGCTCTGCTGGACAGAGTCCCAGCTGATGGCTCAGGCTAGTTCCTGGGTGGACTAGACTACAGTCCCAGTACTGTCTCCTACCAGCCACTGCACCTCAGCCAGCCCCCAACACCCACCCCCTCCTCTGCCCAGATCTAGAAGGGTCAGAAGAGCAGATCATGGACAGAGGACACACAGAAAACGTCTTGGCCCTGGGGATGTCCTTCTCTTCCCCGGATGGAAAGGCTGTCTCCAGGCTGTTGCAAAGCCACTGTGTATTCCCCATCCGGTGATGGTTAACACAAGTGCAGACAGGCTGTGAAGCCTCTGGACCCCATTCTTGCAGCACTAACGCTTAGCAACTTCCATCCTGACATTTAATTTCTTAATTATATGCCATCAACATCAAGTTACAATCCTTTTGATTAACCAGAACAATTCTGGGGCAGGGGTCTGAACAGGAAAAGCAGCCTCCTAAGAACATTCACCAGGATGTCGGTTATCACTAGTTTCATTGAAAAAATAAATAAATAAAAGGTGAGAGTTGGTAACGGATACTAAAGGCTAAAATGAAAGAGGGGTTAATGGAAATGATAATGCCAGAACCTCAGGAGTGTCTTTCAGGTCTTCAGATACCTGTGGTTTACGGTGTCTGCACCTGTGCTCAGATGCTCACAGTTCCAGGGCCTTGGCTCAGGCCAGGACCACTGTGAGTCCTTTTCAATGCCAAGTAGCAGAGGCCTGGCTTTCAACGCAACTTCGACTGCATAATGGAACCGTGGAGGGCAATTGAAATGTTGGCACTGCCTTGTCTAACAAGCAGTGACTGTCCTTCATGCACGTGAACTCCTGAATCTTGTTTTAACCTGAGTAGGAGGAAGCACGGTTGACTCGGATATCATCTTCAGTTTCCATTTCTGAAAACATAATGTGCCTTTTTTCTCTGACTCATTTCAGAGACCCCACGCGGGAGCAGCCTTGCTCAGGAAGAAAGCGTGGGTCAGGGCAAGGACTCCATGTATTTACAACAAGTGAAGGGCGTGGGGCTGCAAAGGTGGCCATCGAGGGCTTGCTCAACGGATGTGCTGCTCCCATAACGTGTCTGAAAAGCACCAGTGTCCCTAACATCATAAAATAAAAGCATAGATGGTAACTTACCCAAAGTGACTGGATAAGTTCATGGAAATACAAAAGAGAAGGAGGTTTTTGATCATGATAAAACTAGAGAACATTCCATTGTCCATTCCCAGTAAGAATAGTAGTTGAAGCAGGTGAATATGGAGGAATAACTCTTCCCTTCTCCAGCTTGATCTTGAAGCTGAAAAGCACACAAAGCAGGGAAGCACGTGAACATCAATGCTGTTGTGTCAGAGTTCCTGGAGTCAAATCACACTGCTATCACAACAATTTACAAAGAAGGGAGCCCGACTCCTTCCCAGCACAGCAGCGCACCAGGTGTTTTCCAACAGCCTCACAGGGCAGTAAGTTGGAGCATAAAAGTAAGTATCAAGACGCTTATTTTTACTTCTACTCAGGGTGTAGAATCATCCTAATTTATTGTTTGCTATGTCTCAAATACTGTTTTGTTTTTTAGTACGTTACCAAATAAAGGATTAGTCCAATTTTTAAAATTAACACATTACTTATCTGAGCAACTGTATTATTTTGTATCTGTCAAATCCACAAGTGTAACAATTTTACCTTTCTGAAATATCTGCCACGCGTTCAAAGCCAGCAAGCTACTCCTCGCTCTGCAAGGCACTGAGAAAGTATGTGGAAAGAAGTAGGGAAAAGCACATTTAAGAAACAGGTTTTCTGCAGGATCACAATACCACAACGACCGCCTATGACAACAGAGTGTGGCTACTTTGCCGGCATTGGGTCCCCGCAACTACACAACTTAACCACTGCCTCTGTGCGAGTCTCTCGGCTCCGTGCTGCACCCTCATCAATGCATTTGAGATCCAGGCAGACATTGTCCCTGGGCTCAGCGACCAACCTTAGTGAAAACATACATTTCGCAATATGCGCATAACGCAAATAGGTGCTCTCAGCATCCGAACAGAATGCTTCCGAAACAAGCATTTTCCCAAGAAGCCCCCCCCCCCCCCCCCCCCCATCCCCCGCAAACTCTGGAACCGGGAGACACAACAGGTACTTCCACCTCGGAAGCGAACGCCCTCGGCGACTCCTGCCAAGAAGGGCAGGGTCCATGCGGTGGTCGCCTGGGCACGTCCTGGGGCTCGTCGCGGGACCCGGGCCAGAGCCAGGCGGCGAGCACGCGGCGCTGCATGCGGGAAACCCGGGCGGCGCCTCCCGCCGCCCCTCAGCCCCGAGCCAGGGCCCCCAAGGAGAGGCTGCGCTCCCGCGACCCCCTGACTCCCACCGAGGCTCGCCAGGGCCGGCGCGCCAGTGCAGGTGGGCGCGGGGGCTGCACTGCGGAGTCGCAGCCTGGGCCGCCCCGGCAGCCGCGGTCTCCACCCGCCAGGTCTGCTGCGGCGCGCAGAGGGTCTCCCGCTCCGGGCCCTCCCCGGCTCGCTCCCGGCTCTCGCAGACCTTCCCGGTTCCCGCCCCGGGTCCCCGCCGAGCGCTCGGCCGGGCAGCGCCTTCCTCCCGGGCTGGGAGCGCGCGGTGCAGCGGCGGCTCCGAGTCCCCTGGCCTCGAGCAGCCCGCGCGACACGCGCGCGACACCCGCACGGGGTCCGAGTCCACCCGAGACGCCGCGCGCCTCAGAGCCCCGGGGCTGACGCTGGCCTTGCAGGGGGGCGACCTCGCCCCTCCGGCTCCCGAGACGGCGGCCGCGGGCGGCCCCTGACCCCCACCCGGCGCTGCGCCCCGGTGCCCCGTCCCGCAGGGCTGAGCCGCCCGGACCCCGCGCCTCCCGCGCCCGCTTCAGCCCACAGTCGCCGGGGGAAAGTTTGCGCCCCGGCCTGGCCCCGCGCCGCCCCTCCCCGGCCAGGCAGCCCGCCGCGTCCTCCTACCCCGCGGCCCCGGCCCCGGAGGAGCCGTCGGTGAGGGCGCATCCTCCTCCGCCGCCGCCCGCTCTCGCCAGGCCGGTGCGGCGTCACCGCCCCATGCTGCCCGCGCGAACTTCCCCGGCGCCCCGCGCTCCCGCCGCCGCCCTGCAGCTCCGCTCCCGCCGCGCCCGGGGCCGCGCGCCGCCCTCCGCAGAGTCCCCCGCGCCCGGCGCCCGCGCTCACCTCGCCCGAGCGCCACATGTCGTCTCCGGCTGGAGACCGGCCCTCTGCGGAGGCTCCGGTAGAGGCCGCCAGACGCTCAGCAAACGAGTCCCGGCTCGGCGGAGGGGGCGGGGAGGGCGCGCGGCTCGGCCTGCGCGGGGAGAGGCCCTGCGCGCGCGAAGTTTCCCCGGGGCGCCGCCCGCGGTCCCCGCCGCCCCTCGTGGGACCGCGCTGGGAAGGCGGCGCCAGCCCCGCGTGGCAGCGGCCGGGGCTCCCAGAGCTCTGCTCCCCGGCTCGGCCCTCGCCTCCCTGCCCCGGCCTGGGTCCTGCGGGCTCCACGGCACCCGCGCGCGCCTCCCCGGGCGCGTCTGAGGGAAACTGGCCGGTGCAGACCCTCTCGTCCCGCTCGGACCGGAGCGCAGGGGCCGGGGTCACCGTGGACTCGGCCGGAGCGGAGTCCCTGCCCAGAGCGCTGTCCGTCTGGGGCTTTTCCCAAGTTCCATTTCCTGACCACGGGCCGCGGGGGCCGCGGGGACGGAAGGGCCGGGAGGCCTGGGGCTGCAGGGCTGAGAGCGCGCCCGGGGCGACGGGCCGGGACCCCCCCCAGCCGGGCTTCCGAGCCTCAGCGGCCACGCGCGTGGGGCCTCGCTCAGGTCCTGAGGCCGGTGTCCCGTCCGTCCGGGCGCTGCAGTTCTGGGAGCGGAGGGTGGCGTCCAGGACAGCCGCGCGGCACCAGGGTCCCTTCAGACAACGCGAGCAAGGTGAGGCCAAAGCGCCACAGCCCGTCGTCGCGGGCTGCAGGGCCTGGTTTCCTCTGGAGGTGGGGGGCTCTCGACTGTAACGCCCAGTGGAGAACGTTCCAGACTTACAGGAAAGCCGCCCAGAACTGATGGGAGGTTTGTTTACACCACTGTCCCGTGCCTTTTGTGAAACTGCATTGTTCATAGTCTCTCTTCACAGGGTGATGGTAAAAAGAAGGCAAATTCCTAACTCTCCTCCAGGAAAGATCGTTGGCCTTCCAGTGTAGGAAGCCTCTTTCCAACGATATCTAATACAGTGTGTTCCAAATCTAAGTTACCTACTAGTACTTCTGCACATTCCCGAAATGCTGAAAATCTCTGCAAAAGAAAAATGGTAAATCTATTCCAGGAACAGGACACAAATATACATAAATGTGCAAATATACGGGAAGTGTTACTCCGAATATACATTTAGCCACACTATTAAGTAACTGTTTCCAGTGGTTTCTTCAAAAAATGTGAATGAAACGAGACGCTCATTTGAAAGAATTTTCTAATTCTAAAATAGACATTGAACACATGCATTCACCTTAGTGGTACATCTTTTGAGAAATCAGAAAATGAAGAGAAGATTTCTTCATTTTCTGATTTCTCAAAAGATGTACCACTAAGGTGAAATTCCTTGGCAGTCATTAAATTTTTTAAAGTGGCCAACATGCTTTTACGCTCTGTTTAATATAATTTTCAGCTATTAGGTGTTGGAGTTCTAGACTTAGAAATGCCAGTGACAACTGCTCTTCTCTCGGGATTAAACAGCATAAGGTAAATCAGAGAGTTGGAAGAATTGGGAAATTTAAAACTTCACAGCTTGTCACACGAAGTCATTCAGTGTATATCCGCAAAAAAAAGAAAATGTATGTAAACAAGGAATGACTTTTGTGTTAGTGAGGATTATAAACATTAATTCTTAATAATGAAAGATGTCAGCTGTAAGTGAACATGTTCTTTTGATGGATTATGTTTAAAACTTCCATGTTTTCTTGGTACACTTGCTATCAGTTTTATGTCCACATAACACATATGACTGAATATATAAAAATGATCTTAAGCTGGAGTCATTCTTTAACATTGTATTTAAGCATGTTGCTTAAATTCTTTTCTCCTCCCTGTGATGAAATGGTATGCAACTCTCTCTCCTCCTAGTGTTTATGTGACATAGCCTCACTGCCCTGAGGGGACAGTGACATCTTAAGACCTATCAGGATCTTACAGAAACTCACATTGCTAGAAGAGTGCTTATTACCATTTCAATGCTTTTTGTTTTGCTGTGGAATTCTGTATTTGTGCTGAGAAATAGTAGGCTATCCCTTGACTTCCCATTTGTTCCATGAGCATTTTCTCTTTTTTGAATGTAATAGAGCAAACTCTTGATCTTCGTGGAAGACGGTAGAGGGCACCCTAGTTCCACACAACCTCGGCCTCGGACCAGCCTTGATAAGAATTTCATTTCCAGCCTGAGAGCCTAAAATAGCTGAAGGTGGGGAAGCTGGGCCATGAGTAGAACAGGTGCCGAAAGGGCACCCACCCTGTACCCTAGTCAGGGGCAGGGACTGAGACAGTGACTGTGTTTGCGTGGGTGGGTGTGGTAGATGTGGCCGAGACCTGAACATAGTGCTGTCGTATAAGTGAAAGCATGTTTCATTTATCTTTCTGTGCTTGGCTTATTTCACCAAGCATGTTCTCCAGGTTCATCCATGTGATCAAGAATGGCAGGATTTCCTTCTTTGTTAGGACTAGATAATATTCTGCTGTATATGTGTGTATGTGCATATACATATATATGCACGTTTGTGTGTGTGTGTGTCTGTCTGTCTGTCTCACAGTTTATTTATTCATTTATCCTTTGGCAGACATTTAGCTTGTTCCCGTTATTTGGCTATTGTAAAAAAATGGCAAAATGAACCTGACAGCTCAGTTACCTCTTCCAGATATTGATTTTATTCCCTTGGCTATATCCACAGAAAGGGGATCACTGGGCATAGTGGTTGCCAGGGCCTGGGGGAAAGAGAGATGGGGAGATGTTTGTCAAAGGGTACAAAATTTCAGTTACGCAAGATGAATAAATTCTGGAGATCCACTGTACAAGACCGTGACTATTGCTAACAACACTGTGGTGTGTACTTGGCACTTGCTGAGAGGGTAGATCTTACATGTTCTCATTTCACACACACAAGAGGGCAGCTCTGTGAGGTGATGGGAATGTGAGTGAGTGTGGTGGCGAAGTACACACATATCAGCCAGCAAGCTGAACACCTTAGAAACCAGATTGTACATCAATGAATGGATGAATGAACAGATCTAAATTTCTGCGTTAAAAAAAAAAAGACAAGATACCCCCACAGCTTTACTAATACTGGGCACCCGTCCCCACCTTCCTGCATACCTCCATTCCACTGACACCTGACAGGGTTCTTAAAGGAACATGGTCTATTCTTTTTCACACTTTGCCTCCTTTCTGTAACCAGGAAAATAGAGGCAAATGGGGCTTTAAAAATATTATTAAATTTTTTCTAATTTCATTGTATCAATTTTATCTTCACTAGTGTTTTATTTATCATATTTCTATTTTACCACATTTCATTTTATTTTGTGATGGCTCTAGGGTTTACGCAGGCATCTTTAACTTATCATAGCCTACTTTCTTTTTCTGAGACAGGGTCTTGCTCTCTTGCCCAGGTTGGAATGCAGTGGTGCAGTCTCAGCTCACTGCAACCTCAAACACGTGTGCCCAAGTGATTCTCTCACTTTAACCTCTCAACTGGTTGGAACTATGGGCATGCACCACCATACTCAGCTAATTTTTTAATTTTTAGTGGAGACCAGGTCTCACTATGTTGCCCAGGCTGGTCCTGAACTCCTGGGTTCAAGGAGTACTCCTGCCTCAGCCTCCCAAAGTGCTGGGATTACAGGTATGAGCTGCCGCACCCTGCCTATGGTCATAATTCCATTAACATAATTCCATTTCATGTACAGTATACTATATGAAACTTGCAATAATATACTTCTATTTTCTTCCTATCCTATTCACTCTTGTTGTCACACATATGACTTCTGCATTCAGTGACTTGTCTCTTACTTTAATAATCAATTTCTTTTTTTTTGTTGTTTGTTTGTGAACGTGGAATATCAAGATGCCAACTCTTGTTGACCTGTCCTTCCTTTTAAAAAAATTTCGATAGATTTAAGGACACAAGTGGTTTTTGGTTACATGGATGAATTGTATAGTTGCGAAGTCGTGGCTTCTAGTGCATCTGTCATCCAAATAGTGTACATTGTGCACAAAGGTAATTCTTCACCTCCCTCCCGTCCTTCTCCCTTCTGAGTCTCCGGTATCCATTACTCTGCATGTCCCTGCATACCCACAGCTTAGCTCCCACTTCTCAGTGAGAACATGCAGTATTTGGTTATTTGTTCCTGAGTTGCTTGCTTAGCATAATGGCTCCCCAGTTCCATCCAAGCTGCTGCAAACAATGTTACCTTATCCTTTTTTATGGATAAGCAGGTATTCCACGGTGTATATATGCACCAGATTTCCTTTATCCACATGAGTTGGTGGGCACTGAGGTTGATTCCATATGTTTGCAATTATGAATTGTGCTGTGATAAACGTACACGTACAGGTCTTTTTTATTTGGTGAGTTCTTTTCCTTTGGGCAGATACACAGTATGAGATTGCTGGGTTGAACAGTAGATCTACTTTTAGTTCTTGGAGAAACCTCTGTACTTTTTCCCATAGAGTTTGTACTAATTCACATTCCCACCAACAATGTATAAGCATTCCCTTTTCATAACATTCATGCCAACATCTGTTGTTTTCTGTCTTTTTAATAATGGCTATTCTTGCAGGAGTGAAGTGGTATCTTTTTTTTTTTGGAGACAGAGTCTTGCTCAGTCGCCAGCCGACAGGCTGGAGTGCAGTGGCGTGATCTTGGCTCACTGCCACCTCTGCCTCCTGGGTTCATGCAGTTCTCCTGCCTCAGCCTCCCGAGTAGCTGGCTGTGTGGCATGAGAATCCCTTGAACCCAGGAGGCGGAGGTTACAGTGAGCCAAGATCATGCCACTGCACTCCAACCAGGGAGACAAAGCAAGACTCCATCTCAAGAAATAAAAAAGTAAATTTTAAGAGTCTGAAATTCATCAAGAGTCCACCTGTCTATTAACTTAAGTGCTTCTAAAATCCGAGCACCTGTCATCCCTGATTGGGCACAC